TTTGCTGCTCACATGGCATCACACAGATGCAGGAGAGGATTTGCAAGGTACTTGTTACATATCCCCTCCCATGCACCTGCCATGTGATTGGGTGCCACTACAGTACAGCAAGTGATGTCAAGGAGAGCGATGACCAGTAGATGGATGAGGGCTGTAGCTTAGAGAAGTAGGTTGTATTTGGAGGCATTTCCCAGAGTACAGACCTGGTGGTGAGTTCTCTTGCTTTTAAGAGTTCAGTGTTGTTTGAATTCCATTCTGAATGTGACAACCTGCTGCTTATTCATAGGTGAGTCACTCTTTCTTATAAATTTGTAGTCAAGTCCCCGTAATCAACTGTGCGTGACTTGTATGGGGGATCAGTGAAGAAAATAGGAAAGAAAAAAAGTGAGGTGCTTTTGTTGCTACTGCTTTTATTAGCTAATATTGTAAAGATGAAGAATAAATATCTTAGGAGTTAAAGGATCAACTAACGCTGTGTTCTATTTAGATTCTCAGAAGGATATTCATGAGTTTGCAATCGGGAGAATTTCATTTTATTGGAAATGCTAAATTCAGGGTTAAATGTTTGGGAAATGGAACTTAATAACTGATATAATTTTTGGAATCTTTCCTGCCTTATAACAAATCAGAGGTCTATCTTGTCTGAGTTACTTGAGCCTTACAAAAAAGGAAATGGAAAATATGAATCAAGTGCAATTACACAGTTAAATTGGATTCATGATTTCATTTATATCAATGAAATAAGGAAATGTGCTAATAGCACTTTTGCCCCTGTCTTGCTATTTGGCAGGATTTTGCACATGAATTAGAAAAGACAGGGCAAAAAAGGGAAGATATTCTGTTTATTAGACGATACATTCAAAATGGCAAACCATAATGTCTCTGAAAATCTTGGGAAGCTGTAATTTCTAAACTAATATATGATATGGTTATTGTTATGGGAATTGTGCCAGAGGTTCTTTGTAAATACTCCCCAGTAATAATTGAAAACTCACCAAATACAATGTAGTTGTAATATTTATCAAAATGACTTATTGACTTTTATTAAGTTATTATCAAGTCATGAATTTGACTGGCTCTGTTAACAAAATGTAGCAATGGCTATGTACTCATAAGAATTTATTCTTGTTTTCTAGCAAATGGTACATCCTTGGTTGAAGGGAATGAGAAAATACATCTGAAAGCGTTTGAAATCTGTGACAGGATATTCATAAACCCTATTACTGTATTTTTATTCTTAGTTTTATTTATATATTTTTAAATGTATATACTTATAAATATATATAAATATCTTAATACATTATATACGTGTGTGTATTATATATATAGTCTTATGGGACAAACAGAAGGGGGATTGAAGAGTAATTAAACCTCGCCAGGTTTCCCTGATTACCATTCAGCACATAAAGGTACTACTAAGTTACAAACATCTTACAAGGGAGCTTCGCAACAATATTAACAAATTAGCACACATTAGTTTATCAGATAAACTTGCATGAAGGTGAAACCCTGGGGAATAATAGCAAATGAAGTGTTATGCCCCAGCTCCAAAGAGAAATTTCCCATTAGTTAAATAACAAAAAGTAAAATTTCCACAATTTAAACGCGGCAGCTCAAATCTAGCTGCTGTGAATACGTATGTAGGCTTTTGAATGACACACTCAACTACCAAAAAGATAGTTTTTGGCTGCAGGAATCCAAAAGTTATGTCAGTCATCATCATCAGTTAAGTTCATATAGCAGATATGTATAAGATGTATAAGATTCAGAGGTTGAGCAAACAGGAGAGACACTGCTTTGAGACAGCTGATTAAGGTGGCAAACACCTGTTTTTGTAAAAGTAGATGTGAGCCAAAATCTTTTACCTTGTTTGCTAACTGATTCTAATAATTTCCTTAGGTCAGAAGTAATTCACGTATGTTCACACTTGTAAAACTTTCACTGTTTTTTATATTGCTGCTACCTTTCCCACTCACTATCCCTTGCTTTCCTCTTTCAACATCAGTGCCTGGATGTTTTGGGGTTGTTGTTTCGTTTTGGGTTTTTTTTTTTTTTTTTTTTTGCCTCTTCTGTCTAGATTCTGGGAGACAGAAACCCTATGTGTGGCTTCTTCCCAAAACGTTCTCCATTTGCTTGAGATGCCATTTAATCCTGGTATGTATGGGGTTCGGTGGAAGGAGCACTACACCGAGGTTCAGATGCCTGGGCCCTTTTTCTAGTTCTACCACTAACTTGTGTGATTTGGAACAAATTTCTTCTATCTTGGTCTCAGTTTCCTCATCTGTAAATAAGGAAATTAGATAAAATTATTTTTCAGGTCTATTCTAGTTACATTTAGCATTCAATTATTCTATTTGGTGGACCAGATGGCCTCCTTTGGTGATATGGAATGCCTAGGGAAGTGTTTTCCAGTGAATAGAGCTGTTAATAGAAATTTTGATTTAGTTTATTACAGCTTTTAGACGTTTGCTTTGATAAAGAACTTTAAACATAAATGTGTTCACCTATTATGGTGCCGTATCTGGGCGCACAGTTTCAGGAACACTTGGTGCAGGAAAAGGAATACTCAGATATGATATTGAGCAGGGCTGCAACAGCATGAGAGAATATTTTCAGCTTTGTTTAAAACGGGGTTCACACATTCACCAGGTCAACGGATGCAGTGTTCCGGTGAGGTGATAATTTGTGTTCAAATGAAACAAAATATTCTTCGAAGTTTTATTTTGAGCACCGCATACCAGCGCGGGTCCACTTTACACCGGCATGATGTAACACCATAGTATATCAAAACGGAAGCTACTTGAACTAATCTTGAGAGTGTAAGGCTACTTGAGACCCTAGCTCTAGCCCTCCCCCACCTTTGCCCTCCTCAAGTCTGGGCCTCGCTTTTATGGTCAATAAAGTTAGATTAAGAAAGGAAAAAAAAGGTGGATTTCGCATAAACGCTAGAGAGGGGCACGTCTTCACTTTGGCTCAGCGTTCCAGAGACGGTCTCTTTTATTGAGAACTCTGTGACCACCTGTTGTTGCCAGGTTAGTTTTCTTCTTCCCTTGAAGTCATGCTCACTCTGATTGTGTGTGTGTATGTGAGTGTGTGAGTGTATGTGCATTTCATCTTAAGAATCCTTAAAGCACCCCCAAAGACGTGGACAGTATCTCAAGGAAAACAAACTTTTCCAACAGTGATTAAGTGCGAGTAAAGGGCGAAGACCGGTTCACACACCAACCCCCTCCCCCACCCCGCATAGGCAAGAGCTACGTCACCGGCAGCCGGCGGTTCCTAGGCACGCGCCGCCGGGCGCTGGGGGCGAGCGGTGACCGGCGTGTGGGGCCCGGGGCAGCCGGGACCGGTCCGTCCCGGACCGGACCGCCGGGTTGGTAGCTGAGGGAATCCTGCCCCCGCGGCGTCGGGCCTGAGAGGGTAGGGAAGGAGGCAAGTAGCAAGGTCGCTTACTGTAGCCCTCGGGTGCGGCTGTAGGGGAGGCGTTAACCGTTCTGAGGAGCATCCCTTTGAAAGCCCTAAACGGCGACACGGTCTGAGGGGAAAGCGGGTTCTTCTGGAGGGAAGGAGGCCTACAGGGCTGTCGCGGCAGATGGGCGGAGAGAGTGTGAGGGTGACCAGGCGGCCCTCCGTCGCCCGGTCTCAGGTAGTCAAGCTGCCTCTGCCTCGCATCTCGGCTCGGAGCCCCACAGTGAAGATTGAATTCCTGAGAGACTAGTGGGGAACCTTTGGGTGAGGACGGGGCTGGGAATCTGTCCTACGAGAAACCGAGGACAGAAAATGAGGGTGCGGGGACGGTTAGGTTGGCCAACTGACAACTTGGTGGGACGGTGCCGTAGATTGGGTTACTCTCTGAGCTAAAAGTCTTCAGAGACTTGTTCATGGGGACAGAGTTGAGGCAGAACTAGGACGAAAAATACGGGGATGGGGGCGCGAGTTCAGAGAAGGCTGATTTCAGCTCGACATAAGGAAAATTTCCCATAGAAATTTAGCTGTTGGCAGCCGCGCGCTGCTGCCTCATCAAGGTCTGTGCCATTTCTGTGGCGGCTGTTCCAACTGTCGAATTCCAACCTTTTGATTAGATATCCCCTGTATTTTTTTTAATCCCCTGAGTCTATGATTCTCCTTTTATGATAATATAATAATCCTTCTCAGAATTATTTATATTATTCTCTTCTGGAAAAAGAAATCCACCATGATATGATTTAGAATTTTCTGTTTGTTTTAAATCTTAACACCTATTGTCATGGATATGGATAATAGAACTTCTATGGTTGTGCCTTTAAAATACATTAAGCTTGATTAAAATGCTAACCGTTAGGGGCTGTTCAGCTTCTAGTTTATCCCGCTACGTAGGTTATAGACCCAAGCCTTTCAACATAAAGGAATGCAATTTTCGAAGCTAGTCAACATGAGAATAGACTCTGAGGTCTTGAGGAGGGAGATTTTCCACTATCTTAGATCACTGATTTTTTTTTTTTAGATTTATTGTTTGATTTGCCAGTTTTTCCTTTCCTTATCTTGGATTTTAAAGCTGAGATGAAAAACTTTAGTGAATATTTTGCATGAACAGCCATATGAATTTTCAAGGGGAGAGAACAGGCAATAGTTCTCCTCTTATCTGGCATTAAAGGAAGAAAGTGATGAATCCTGGAAAGACCAAAAACAAACAAACAAACAAAAAAACTAAATAAAGAAAAAAGCCATTTAGGCAGATTCAAGACGTAATATAAATGTTAAAAAGCAAAAAAGAATAGGAAAACTACTGCACACCAAAAACCCCTTTCCTAGAAATTAGAGGATTTTAGATGATGTTATACAATCATAGAAAGCACAATCACATCTTTTAGTTAATGAAATTCCCAGTGCTTGGTACATAGTGAACACATATTACACATTTGTTAAATGAGCTTGAATGAAATGAAATTTTTTCCATCTTTATTTTAATAAACTCTCTGCTGAATGCCAGAACTTTGCTAAGTGTTTCTGGCTTGCTTACTTTCTTTTTGTTTTTTTTTTCAGAGTAACTGAAACCTATTGGAGAGGTTCAGTTCACCACTGGAGCCTACCCAAACCTCCTTTTCTTTACCCACCCACCCTCCTCTGTACAGCCTCTCCTACCATCAAACCTCAGGTGAAGGGGAAATCAGAGAAGGACTAGTGACTTGCTGGCGCTGGTAGGCTCATTGCCACTTTCATCATGCATTTTAAGACTACAGATAATCTGAGAGTAAGCGTCAGGATTCTTTCATATCTTCCTATTCCCCTAGCACCCCTCATTTTCAGTCTGAAATTGTCCCCCAAGTATGTAACCCTGATACCTTATTGGAGGTTCTAGAACTGTGGTGTGCAATCTGGTAACCACTAGCCACATGTGGCTTTTTAAATTTCAATCAATTAAAATTAAACACAATTAAAAATTGTGTTCCCAAGTCTCAGTAGCCACATTTTACTTGCTTATTAGTAACATGTGGCCAGTAGCTGCTGTATTGAATAGTGCGGATATAGAATATTTCAATATTGCAAAAAGTTCTCTTGGCCAGTGCGGCTCTAGAAAGCCTGTCAGACCCTTGTCATTTCTGCAGTTTGAAAGATATTCAGATTCAAACCCAGTTTTCTTGAGGGGCAAGATAAAGGTAAACACAAAATATGCTGTGGTAGTTCAAGAAGTGTCTGTGCAAAGTGGGGCCTGAATTAATTGGCTAGGAGGGTGAGAAAACATGGCAGCACCACTCATCTAATTTGGTCACATTTATTTAGGCTGGGAAAGTGAGACCTATATTCAAGTTTTCAGGAAGGGCTTTGGCTATGATTTTAGACCAATTATTTAATGTGAACTTCAGTGATTTACATTTGTAAAACATTTCTACATACAAGATCATAAAATTTAGTTAAAAGACAGTAAATGAAAGAGGAAAACAGTTGATTCTAAGAGCATGTGCATTATAACAATCCTACTTTTTAAATTGTCATTAACATGTTCTTTGTATCCTCCCTATTATGGGTTTCAAGAGTTGAGTAATATAGGTAGGAAGCCTGCAAGCTGCAACAATTCAGAGCTTCAAAACTACCAGGATTAATAATGATTCACATTTCCGTAAGGAATGTTTTGCGTTTTAGAAAGTCTTCTCATTTTTTCTCCCCATGGTTCTCTCAAGACACTCCTGATGTAAGTAGGGCAGATATTATTATTTTTTTCTCAAGGATCTTTATCTTTGGCTTGACTCAGATGCCACCTGCTGCATGAAGCTGTCTCTTTGCTTGCAGTTAAGCATAAACTTCTTAGCACTTTCTTTGTGTGGTATTTGTCTTAAGCTAATTAACAACGCTGTTCATGTGCTTTTGCTTCTTCTTAATAGTTCCACAATTCCTGTAGGACAGAAGTTGTGTCAGATTTATATGTTTTTGCCTTTATAATTTTATTTTATAGAGGGAAAATTCACACAACATAAAATTAACCATTTTAAAGTGTACAATTCAGAGGTATTTAGTATATTCACTGTATAGTGCAATGACCACTTCTATCTAGTTCCAAAACATTTTCATCACCTCAGAAGAGAACCCCATACCCACTAAACAGTCACTCCTCCATGCCTCCCCACAGCCCCTAGCAATCACTAATCTTTCTGTGTCTGTGGATTTACCTATTCTGGGTATTTCAACTAAATGGAATCATACAATATGCAACCTTGCGTGTCTGGTTTCTTTCACTTAGCATAATCTTTTCAAGGTTCATCCGCATTGTACCATATATTGATATTTTGTTCAGATTTATATTTGAATTTTTGTATTTTACTAAAGAGACACTCAATAAATATTAATTTAATTATTTAATTAATGGTGGATTATTTTACCCCAAACTCCCATGCCTGACAGCATATGCTACTATTATGCAGTCTGTATAAATAGATAAGGCCTGAGCCTGATTAAGTTGTGTTATTTCATTCTTAGCTACTCAGGTAATCTAAAACTTAGACATTAAATGCCAGAAGATTTTCTCTATTTGTCCATTCTGAGACGTGGCACAATCGTTTTGTCTTTTCCAGCGAGATCCTACTGTGACATCCTCTCCCACTGAAGTTCGTGTGTGGATAGAAGGTAAGATGTTTTGAAACATTTCTGCTCTGCACATCACATTTTGTCTTTTATGGGCTCAGCTGCCCAGATTACACAGAATATTAATACATAAAAACACATATTATTTTGCAGTCTTTTACAGAAGATGCTTCAATATTAAATATTCGAACCTGAAATCTGTAACTTTAAGATCATAACATTATGTTTTAATAAACATATTCTAAGAAAAATTTCTTTGTCATGGTTGAAGTCTTCCCTGAATGGGTATTGGAATTAGTGTATTAATTAAACTTTAATTAATGTATTAATGTATGATTTTGGACTTAATAGAATTAATACATGATTATTGGAAGGAATCGAACATTCTAAAATAATGACATGAGATGAACAGTAAAACACACTACCTAACAGATATGATTTACAATCTTCTATTAAAAGGAGCCAGTGATGACTGAAGAGAATGGACTATATAGAGGAATAGATGCAATGAAAGGAAGAGTTAAATGCAATTATTTTAATTTTTATTATTAATCATAATTTATTACACTTAATATATAGTTAACCTTCGAGAGCAAAGGCTATGCCTTCCTCCGTCACTTGCTGTACACGTTAATCCATAACTGAAAAAATGATGTTTACTGATTTAACAGGGAGGAAAGATCCAAAGTCAGTCTTTTATCAGGTGTTCTTATTAGCATCATTCCAAGGAGCACCTTAAGAAAGAATGGCAGTACTTAGCATTTTTTAATTATAGAAACTCTTCTAAAGATGATTAATTACTATGGAGCCTTGCTTTATTCCACTGTTTTCTTTACATGGTGATTAGTAAAGATCCTTTAGCATGTTCTGTTAAGAAAAATGGATTAGAAGTTGGCCCGGTGGTGCAGTGGTTAAATTCACATGTTCCGCTTCGGCGGCCCGGGGTTTGCTGGTTCAGATCCCAGGTGTGGACCTACGTACCACTTGTCAAGCCATGCTATGACAGGCATCCCACCTATAAAGTAGAGGAAGATGGGCACAGATGTTAGCTCAGGGCCAGTCTTCCTCAGCAAAAAGAGGAGGATTGGCGGCAGATGTTAGCTCAGGGCTAATCTTCCTCAAAAGAAAAGAGGAAAAATAGAAATGGATTAGGCACTACATAGATGAAAATAATATATTATCACTGCAGAATTATAGTATCTTTTTAAAGATTTTATTCCCGATCCATAAAATAGCTTCAGTGCAATAAGGTTACCCTGACATTAAGTTGAAATGCACAGTTATCTAGCACAATATATGTGAGAATTTATTATAAAAATAATTTAAATTGTCAATAAAATTATTTTTATGTCGAGACATTTCAAGTGAAGAATAAATTCCAAGTTTTCTTGGTTCACATTTTAATTCTAACTTTTATAATTTTTTTGTTGAAGTATAATTGGCATACAATATCCTATTAGTTTCAGTTGTACGTCAATATTTATATACGTTACAAAATGATCACCATGATAAGTCTAATTATGATCTGTCACCACACAAAGTTATTACAATATTATTGACTGTATTCCCTATGCTGTACATTGCATCCCCAGGAATTATTTATTGTATAACTGGAAGTTTGTACCTCTTACTCTCCTTCATCTATTTCGCCTGCTCCCCTAAACCTTCCCACCTCTGGTAACCACCAATTTATTTCCTGTATCTGAGTCTATTTCTGTTTTGTTTTGTTTGTTCTTTTCTTTTTTAGATTCCACATATAAGTGAAAAAAACATGGTATTTTAATTTCTCTGTCTGACGTATTTCACTTAGCATAATTCCCTCTAGGTCCATCCATGATGTTGCAAATAGCAAGATTTCATTCTTTTTAATGGCTGAGTACTGTTCCAGTGTGTGTGTGTATGTGTGTGTGTGTATACCACATCTTTGTTCATTCTTTTTAATGGCTGAGTACTGTTCCAGTGTGTGTGTGTATGTGTGTGTGTGTATACCACATCTTTGTTCATTCATCTGATTGATGGATGCTTAGGTTGCTTCTATATCTTGGCTATTGTAAACAATGCTGCAATGAACACAGGGGTGCATATATTGCTTTAAATTTATTTTTGTTTTCTTCAGATAAATATCCAGAAGTGGAATTGCTGGCTCCTATGGTAATTTTATTTTTAGTTTTTTGAGGAACCTCCAAACTGTCTTCCATAGTGGCTGCACCAGTTCACATTCCCACCAACAGTGTACGAGGGTTCCCTTTTCTTCACATCTTTGCCAACACTTATTGTATTTTGTCTTTTTGATAATAGCCATTTTAACAGGTGTGGTAGTATCTCACTGTGGTTTTCATTTGTATTTCTCTGATGCTTAGTGATGTTTAGTATCTTTTCATGTGCCTTTTGGCCATCTGTATGTCTTCTTTGGAAAAATGTCTATTTAAGTCCTCTGACCATTTTTTAACCAGTTTGTTTTTTTTGCTAAGTTGTGTAAGTTCTTAATACATTTTCAATATCAATCCAACATCGGATGTATGTTTTGCAAATATCTTCTCCCATTCAGTAGATGGTTTTTTGTTTTGTTTATAGTTTCCTTCACTGTGCAAAAGCTTTTTAGTTTGATGTAATCCCATGTGTTTATTTTTGCTTTTGTTGCCCTTGCCTGAGGAGACTGGTCCAAAAATAATATTGCTAAGACCGATATCAAAGAACTGACTGCCTACGTTTTCTTCTAGTAGTTTTATGGTTTTAGGTGTTACATTCAAGTCTTTAATCCATTTTGGATTTATTTTTCTATGTGGTATAAGATAGTGGTCCAGTTTCATTCTTTTGCATGTAGCTGTCCAGTTTTCCCAACACCATTTATTGAAGAGACTGTCTTTTCCACCATTGTATATTCTTGCCTCCTTCGTCATATATTAATTGGCCACGTAAGCATGGCTTTATTTCTGGGCTCTCTGTTCTGTTCCATTTATCTAAGTGTCTGTTTTCATGCCAGTACCATACTATTTTGATTACTATAGCTTTATAGTATAGTTCGAAATCAGGGAGCATGATACCTCCAGCTTTGTTCTCCTTTCTCAACATTGCTTTGGTGATTTGGGGTCTTCTGTGGTTCTATAGAAATTTTAGGATTCTTTGTTCTAGTTCTGTGAAAAATGCCATTAGGGAGCCAGCCTGGTGGCATAATGATTAAGGTTGCCCACTCCTCCTTGGCAGCCCACGGTTCGTGGGTTTGGATCCTGGGTGTGGACTTACACATTACTCATCAAGCTATGCTGTGGCGGCACCCCACGTACAAAATAAAAGAAGATTGGCACAATGTTGGCTCAGTGACAATTTTACTCAAGCAAAAAGGGGAGGATTGGCAAAAGATGTTAGTTCAGGGCCAATCTTCCTCATCCAAAAAAAAAATGCCACTGGTATTTTGATGGGGATTGCATTGAATCTGTAGATTGCTTTGGATAGTATGGACATTTTAACAATATTAATTTTTCCAATCCATGAACATGGTATATCTTTCTATTTATTTCTGTCATCTTCAATTTCTTTCATCAGTGTCTTATAGTTTTCAGAGTACAAGTCTTTCACCTCCTTTGTTAAATTTATTCCCAGATATTTTATTATTTTTGATGCAGCTGTAAATGAGATTTTCTTAATTTTTTTGCCAATAGCTCATTATTAGTGTGTGGAAATGCAACTGCTTTCTGTATATTAATTTTGTGTCCTGAAACTTTACTGAATTCATTTATTAATTCTAGTAGTAATTTTGTGGAGTCTTTAGGGTATTCTATATGTAGTATCATGTCATCTGCAAAGAGTGACAGTTTTACTTCTTCCTTTCCAATTTGGATGCATTTTCTTTATTTTTCTTTTCTGATTGCTGTAGCTAGGACTTCCAATACTACATTGAATAAAAGTGTTGAGAGTGGGCATCCCTATCTTGTTCCTGAGCTTAGAGGAAAAGCTGTCAGTTTTTCATTGTTGGGTATGATGTTAGCTGTGGGTTTGTCATATATTGCCTTTATCCTGTTGAAGTACATTCCTTCTGTACCCACTTTGTTGAAAGTTTTTATCGTAAACGGATGTTGAATTTTGTCAAGTGCTTTTTCTGCATCTACCAAGATGATCATATCATATTTATCCTTTGATTTGTTAATGTGATGTGTCACATTGATTGATGTCTGGATGTTGAACCAGGCTTCCCTTGCTGAGATAAATCTCAGTTGATTGTGTTGTATGATTCTTTTAATATAGTTTTTAATTGGCTTGTTAATATTTTCTTGAAGATTTTTGCATCTATGTTCATCAGGGATATTGGCCTATGATTTTCTTTTTTTGTGATGTCTTTGTCTAGCTTCGCTATCAGGGTAATGCTGGCTTTGTAAAATGAGTTTAGAAACATTCCTTCCTCTTCAATTTTTTGGAATAAATTGAGAAGGATTGGTATTAACTCTTCTTTAAATGTTTGGTAAAATTCAGCTGTGAAGTTATCTGGTCCTGGACTTTTGGTTTTTGGGAATTTTTAAATTACTGATTCAGTTTTATTTATTTGTAATCAGTCTATTCAGATTTTGTATTTCTTCATGTGTCAGTCTTGGAAGGTTGTGTCTTTCTAGGAATTTATCCATTTTTTCTAGGTTTTCCAATTTGTTGATGTATAATTGTTTGTAGTAATCTCTTATGATCCTCTCTATTTCTGTGATGTCAGTTGTAACTTTCCTCCTTCGTTTCTGATTTTCATTGTTTGGGCCTTCACTCTCTTTTTCTTTATGAGTCTGGCCAAAGATTTATTAATTTTATATTTTTAATGAACCAGCTTTTAGTTTCATTGATCTTCTGTATTGTTTTTTTTTTTTTAGTCTCTATTTCATTTATTTCCACTCTGATCTTTATTATTTCCTTCCTTCTACTAACTTTGGGTTTTGTTTGTTCTTCTAGTTCCTTTAGGTCTTGAGATTGTGTATTTGAGGTAGGCCTGTATTGCTACAAACTTCCCTCTTAGAACTGCTTTTGCTGTGTCCCATTTTGGAAAGTTATGTTTACAATTTCATTTG